CGGTACTCGGCTCTAGAGAAGGAAGTCAAGCGCTCTTGCAGACGGGACAAGCGAGCGTGGGTGAACTCCCTGGCCGACGAAGGGGAGAAAGCCGCAAACACTGGCGATATACGCCTCATCTACGATATCTCACGACGCCTGAGTGGAGCAAGGATGAACCCGAGGATGCCAGTGAAGGACACGACTGGACAATTGCTTACCGACCCCACTGACCAGCTGAAACGCTGGTTTGAGCACTTCGAACAACTTCTTCATGTTTCGACGGCCAACCAGTCATCAACATCTCGGCATGATCCGCCTAGCGTGCGGCGCATCACTCGCGTCAATTCCAAGGCCCCACCACTGCAGGAGATTGAAGCAGCTATCCGAAGCATGAAATCCAACAAGGCTCTGTGGTGGCAAGATAGAAAGTCCCCACTTGTATTTTGTGATCAAACGAATCCAGTCGTGTACTTATTTAAACTATAAGAAAGATACTTAGTAAATACCTGTCCAGTTCAGTGGCGACGAGGATAAAGGATAAAGTAAATTTTTCAAGTGTGCACCAATTTTTCACGACCGCGTGTGACCTAAAAAGCACTTTGGCGTGATTTTATTGGCGTATGTAGTACTAGTAGTATTTGATAAAAAAAAAAATTGTGATTAGTGAAATTATCTGTGAAATCATTTTTATCCCGCATTGCACGGCGTGCCAGTGATTTTATTTTAATGCCCAATTTTAGTCGTCGTTAAGTGGTGTCGGAAGTGATTTTAGAGTCTTTTTCCGCCAAAACTACACTAATCAATTTTTTTTAATTCTTGTAGCAAAAGAATAGTTTTTTGTTCTGCGTAATTGTTCATAGAAAGCAAAGACAACGAGCACCTTTTCTTTTGGACGCCATTGCATTTTGTTGGCTCTCAGATTCTTATACATTTTTTTTATTCTTTTTCTTCCAAGTGCACCTCCGTGAGAAATCAATACTTTCGTCACCAGACAAGAGCTTTTTGACGCCATCACAATAAACTGTGGTAAGGTGGTAAAACCGATTTTACCGTTTCGGCTCAGTGTTAGTGAAGTGTCAGCGAGAAACAGATCGAAAAGTTTTCTAAAGCGGTGTTCGGTGCTTTGTTTACACCTTCTACCAGTAAAGTTAGTGCATTTTTGCATTTTTTGTTTGACTGACTCGATAGGGAGCGATAGGGCATCGACCGCTTGGTGCAGTTCAGTGACCCGTTAGTGTGGTTCATCGACCACTTGGTGCAGTTCAGTGACCCGTTAGTGTGGTTCATCGACCGCTTGTTGCAGTTTAACGACCGCTTGACGCAGTTCACTGACCGTTTGGTGTAGTTCATCGAACTCTAAAAGTGAGAATTACTGCTAGTGAGACTGTTAAAGCTGATAGTGAAAATATTCCTGCTGTTGCCGGTTAGAAATACTGCTGCTGTTGTTGCGACCAGGATTTGAAGATTTTTCTTGCATGCTGTTGTTGTTGTTAGCAGCTGAATCTATTCGTTGCTTGGATTTAGTGCTGTTTTGGACGCTTATTGGCCGCTCAGAAACGGACCGAGTTTTGGTTTGTCGCAGCGATAAAACAGGTACGTGAAACTTTATTTGCATTTTTTTGGTACAAATATAAATTTGTTGCGGAGCATAGTTTTGATAATTTTTTTTTTTTTGATTTTGTGTGTTTTTTTTTTTGCTTTTATTTCGTTTGACTGATAAGGATGTCGATGTCAACAACCAGCGAACCATTCATTCCGGGTACGATTCCCTTTTCCCAGTACCTCGAACAGCTGGAGTGGCAATTTTTGCACAACAATTACAGTGAGGATAGATATAAAACCTCTTTTCTAGCTGTTTGTGGAACTGAAGTTTTCACTCAGCTAAAACTTTTGTTTCCGGGCAATAATTTCAAGGAATTAACTTATAAACAATTAACTGAAGCGCTCAAGAAGAGGTTTGATAAGAAAGATTCAGATGTGATCCACACATATAAATTTTGGACGCGTAGGCAAGGGACAAATGAAAAGTCGGAAGACTTCGTACTTGCCATTAAGCAGCTTGCTGAACATTGCGATTTTGGTGTTTTTAAAGAACGGGCTATCCGTGACGCTTTAGTGATTGGTGTTTATGATCGCCAGTTGCAGAAGCGGCTTTTTGATGAGGACGACTTGACTTCCGAAAGAGCGGAAAAGCTTATCGTTAACCAGGAATTATCTTCTGATAGAACTCGTTTTATGGACAGGGACGATGAGCGCAGAGGTAATGTGATTGCCAGGTTGGGTCGACGACCAGAGCGTACACCTGCGGAAAGGGACTACCGCAACAGGAGTAGGAGTATAAATAGGAGTCACAATCGATCCTTTTCTTATAGGAGCAGAAGTCAGGATAAAAACACAAATAAAACTTTTGTTTGCTCTTTCTGTAATAAGAAGGGGCACACTAAGAAATTTTGTTTCCGTCTTAAACGTAAGAGCCCTCGTAAAAACTCCCATGGGGTAAAGTTTATTGACTCTCCTAAGCCTTCGCCAGTTGCACATACTTCTGGCCTTTTCAAGAGATTAAAAGATGAGTTGAGCATAGAATCGGACGATGAAGATTTAGCTTGCATGATGATCTCGTCAAAACGTAGAGGTAATGAACCGTGTTACGCTGAAGTAGTAATAGAAAATCGTAGAATGAAGATGGAGGTAGATTGCGGATCTGCCGAAAGCGTTATATCTGAGGAGCTTTTCCTAAGAAACTTTAAAAAATGCCCTATTGAAATGTGTAAGAAGAGGTTGTTTGTGATTGACGGAAACAAGCTGGATGTTGTTGGTAAAGTGAAGGTTGACGCACGGTTGAACGGACTGAGAAAGGAGCTGTTTTTGGTGGTGCTACGATGCGAAAAGGATTTCATCCCGCTAATGGGACGGACATGGCTCGATTTATTCTACGACGGATGGAGGAGTAAATTTTCTTGTTCATCGGCTCCCAAGCAACGAGTAAACGCCCTGACGGAGGATGAAACGGTGGAAGATATCAAAAGTAAGTTTCCAGCTTGTTTTGACAAAGATTTGTCTAACCCTATAGTTGGTTTTGAGGGAAACTTGATTCTTAAAGATGATACTCCTATATTCAAAAAGGCGTATGAAGTTCCATTGAGATTACGGCTAAAAGTTATTGAGCATTTAAATTCGTTGGAGAAAGATGGTATTATAACACCGGTGGGAGCTAGTGAGTGGGCTTCACCGGTTGTAGTTGTTTTAAAAAAGGACAACAGCATTAGGTTGGTTATAGACTGCAAAGTCTCTATAAATAAACTTATTATTCCCAACACCTACCCTCTGCCATTACCACAGGATTTATTTGCTGCATTGTCAGGTTCAAAGGTGTATTGTACATTGGATCTGGCTGGAGCTTACTCTCAGCTTTTACTTTCAAAGCGATCCAGAAAGTTTATGGTAATTAACACCATCAAGGGCTTGTATGTTTACAATCGGCTTCCGCAAGGAGCCTCATCTATTTCTTCTCATCTCATCTTATTTCTGGGAAAGATTTAGAGGACTGTAAAACTAAACTTTATTTAGTCCTAGAAAGATTATCTAGAGCTAACATAAAAGTTAATGTAAAAAAATGCAAGTTTTTTGTAAGAAAGTTGCCGTATTTGGGTCACATTTTAACTGAAAATGGTCTTCTTCCCTGCCCCGACAAAATCCAGACAATTAGTGAAGCGAAGGCTCCACGTAATGTGTCAGAACTTAAAGCATTTTTGGGTTTAATTACTTATTATGCCAAGTTTATCCCAAATTTATCTTCCCGAATAAGGGTTTTATACGGACTTTTAAAAAAGGACGTTAAATTTGTATGGAGTCCAGATTGCGAAAACGTTTTTAGTCAATGCAAGCAATTCCTTTTACAACCAAGAGTTTTGGAATATTTTGACCCTGATAAACCAGTTATTGTAGTTACCGATGCTTGTAATTACGGCCTTGGTGGTGTATTGGCACATTTGGTTAATGGTGAAGAAAGGCCTATATGTTTTACATCTTTTTCTCTAAACGAAGCTCAAAAGAAATATCCGATTCTCCACTTAGAGGCGCTGGCGGTGGTTAGCACGGTCAAGAAATTTCATAAGTTCCTGTATGGAAAAAAATTTACTATTTTCACTGACCATAAGCCGCTGATTGGCATTTTTGGAAAGGAGGGAAGAAATTCGATGTCAGTCACAAGGTTACAGCGTTACGTTTTTGAACTTTCCATCTATGAATACGACATAATATACAGACCATCAACCAGAATGGGTAACGCAGACTTTTGTTCGCGATTCCCTCTCGCTCAGGAAGTGCCCAGGGAACTAGATAGAGCATACGTGAAAAGTTTAAATTTCACCGACGAATTTCCAATCAGCTATAAGCAAATTGCAGAAGAAACCAAACATGACGACTTCTTATTAAAGATTCTTGAATATTTGCGGAAAGGATGGCCAGATCGATTGGAAAAACGGTTTGTTGATGTATATTCCCATTACCAGGACCTGGAAGACGTGGAAGGCTGTATTCTTTTCCAGGATAGGGTAGTTGTACCGGATTCTATGAAACGGAATGTGTTAAAACTACTTCACAGAAATCACTCCGGAATGCACAAAATCAAACAATTGGCCAGGAGGACCGTCTACTGGTTCGGAATGAATGGAGACATAGAGGATTTTGTCAGATCCTGTAGAATTTGCAATGAAACTACTTTGATATCTAAGAGACCCCCCTACTCACCGTGGATACCTACGAATAAGCCATTCAGCAGGATCCATGCTGATTTTTTCTATTTCGAGAAAAAGATCTTCTTGATAGTAGTGGACAGTTACACAAAATGGGTAGAGGTTGAAATTATGAGATTTGGCACGGATCATAAGAAAGTTATAAAGGTTTTCATTGGCATTTTTGCAAGGTATGGACTGCCAGATGTCTTGGTCACGGACGGTGGCCCTCCATTCAATTCCGACCATTTCATCAAGTTCTTTGAAAAGCAAGGTGTTATTGTCATGAAGAGCCCTCCGTATCATCCAGAGAGTAACGGGCAGGCGGAGAGAATAGTTCGCCTAGTGAAAGATGTTTTCAAGAAGTTCCTGCTGGATCCTGACATCAGGAAATTGGACACTGATGAACAAATATATTATTTTCTTATGAATTACAGGAACATATGTCTAGGAAAGGATGGAAGTTTTTCCTCAGAACGCCTATTATCGTATAAACCAAAGACAACACTTGACTTAATTAACCCTAAACATAGTTTTAAAAACAATTTGACTAAACAATCGCATGATGATAACCCTGACGCATATTTTACAAAAACGGGCAACACATCTAATCTGTTTCACAATTTGCGGAAAGGAGATCTGATATACTACAAAAATTCAAACAAAACAGATCTTAGGCAGTGGTTACCAGTATCATTTCTAATGCACGTTTCTCCCAACGTTTTACAGGTATCGCTTGGTGGCAGAGTGATTTCTGCACATAGGCGACAGATCAAAGTCCCACCTGACTCTCGTTTGAAAACTAGAAAGTGTTTGGTTTTCCATGAAGAGAATTCAGGTTCAGCACAGCCTTTTGCTAACAACAACAACAACAACAACAACAACAACAACAACAACAACAACAACAACAACAACAACAACAACAACAACAACAACACCAGACGAAGCAGCGTAGAATTTCAGAATGAAGAAGAAGAAACAGCAAGTTCAGATTTTTATGGATACGCAACCGATTCTGGCTTATTTAAGGAAGCTTTGGTTCCACAACAGAACGATCGAATTGATCAACCCTATAGCAAACGTCGTAGAGAAGAAGAAGGAGATTCCGAATCCGATTTTTATGGATTCGCAGCGGATTCGTTCGTATTTCAAGAGGTTCCTGCTTTTGAAGAAGATAGAACTTCAAGTGCAGTAGAGCCAGTGCGGCGATCGAAGCGTCGTACAAAGAAGAGAAGAAAAGATGAATATGTTTATTATTGAATTTTAAATTCGTTCAAATGAGTTATATTATGTTTAAATGATTTGAATTATTGTAATTGAAAGTTATCGAAAAATGATTTTAAAGACAGTTAGGAATTTGATCATGAGCCTAAGGCTTTTCTTAAGGAAGGAGGAGTTGTGGTGGCAAGATAGAAAGTCCCCACTTTCGGTAAAACGATATTTCCTCTCAGTCGATTGATGTAGGAGAAAAGAGCACATGAGAGAGCAAGCATGTAGCTTATAAAGTGTGCTTTCGAGGATTGAATAAACAGAAGTATTTTGTGATCAAACGAATCCAGTCGTGTACTTATTTAAACTATAAGAAAGATACTTAGTAAATACCTGTCCAGTTCAGGCTCCAGGGTCGATCGCATATCAGCAGAGATGCTCAAAGCTGACCCCATGCTATCCGCACAAATGTTGCATCAACTATTCTGTAATATCTGGGACACCGCGACTTTTCCGGCCGACTGGATGCAAAGCATCTTAGTGAAGGTCCCAAAGAAGGGGGATCTGACTGTGTGCGACAATTGGCGAGGCATCATGTTATTGGTATTGTTCTCAAAGTTATGTGCAAAGTTATCCTGAGTCGGATACAGGAGAAGATCGACGCGACTCTCCGACGGCAGCAGGTAGGATTCCGTGCCGGAAGATCTTGTGTGGACCATATTGTCACGCTCCGCATCATCCTGGAGCAGGTCAATGAATTCAAAGAGTCCCTTTATTTGGTATTCATTGACTACGAAAAAGCTTTCGACCGTCTCAATCACGAGAATCTGTGGGGCGCCTTGAGACGCAAGGGAGTCCCGGATAAAATCGTCAACCTCATCGAAGCGCAGTATGAGGCTTTCACGTGCAGAGTTCTGCATAACGGAGCCTTGTCCGACCCTATCCGGGTAGTCGCTGGTGTGAGACAAGGATGTATACTATCACCGCTACTGTTTCTCATCGTAATCGACGAGATCATGGTAGGTGCAATTGACCGTGTACCGAACCGTGGGCTGCTTTGGCAGCCTATCACCATGGAGCATCTCAAGGACTTCGATTTGGCTGATGATGTTGCTCTACTAGCACAACGGCGCTCTGATATGCAGAGTAAGCTCAATGACCTAGCCGAACGCTCCTCTGCGGCGGGTCTCACCATCAACGTCAACAAGACCAAATCGTTGGATATCAACACGGGCAACCATTCCAACTTTACGGTAGCGGGGCAAGCAGTGGAGAAGGTCGAAAGTTTCCAATATCTTGGCAGCCAAATAGCGTCGGAAGGCGGGACCATAGGTGCACGAATCAAGAAGGCTAGGGCTGCCTTTGCGAGTTTACGAAACGTATGGAGATCCAACCAGATAAGTCAACGCACCAAAATTCGAATTTTCAACTCGAACGTGAAATCTGTGTTGTTATACGCCAGCAAGACGTGGTGTGTATCAGCGGAGAACACTCAAAAGCTGCAGGTCTTCATCAACCGATGCCTGCGGTATATAATTCGTGCCTGGTGGCCTCCCAACTGGATCTCGAATGCCGAGCTCCATCGTCGATGTCATCAGAAGCCGATAGCAACAGAAATTTGAGAGCGAAAGTGGAGGTGGGTCGGCCACACACTTCGACGGGGCGGAAACGAAATCTGCAAGCAAGCGCTGGATTGGAATCCGGCAGGACATCGCAGCAGAGGCAGACCCAAGGGCTCATGGCCTGGGCCCAGGTCAAGGCAAAAACGAGCAGCCGCCCAGGATGGAAGTCTTTCACGTTGGCCCTTTGCACCGCTGGTGGTGCACAGGACCCTTAAGTAAGTAAGTAAGTACACATAAAAGCCATGTGTAGGCACAAATACTATTCATTTGACTCATAAATTTCATGTGTGCTTCTAGGTGGATTCTGTTTATATGTGGTCACATGAAAATCATGTGGAATTTCACATGGAAATTCGTCAATAAAAATGTGTGGAATTTTATTAGTGTAGTTGCTCTTTGTTCGTTGCTATCAGTTCGGTGCCTTTTGTTGCTACGCTGCAAGATGTGTGAAGTAAAAAACACCATCAAGTTTAGCTTCAGCTATTATGATGCTAAACCAAACATCGGAGAGATTGTAAATTTCGCCAAAGCACTCGACGCGGATCCGGCTGAAATGGAAGCTGTTTATCGCATTGGTGAAGAAAGGGGAGTCTTCATGAAGTTCAAATAAGAGGAATCGATGCTCCATGCTCTGACATACAATTCGGATTCCATTATGCGAATGGAACGACGGCAAAGGTACGCATGTCGCATGCTGGTGAATTCATCCAGTATGTGCGTGTGTATGACTTGCCACCAGAGGTACCCGACAACGAGCTGGATAAAGTGCTGGGGAAATATGGAAAAATTAAATGCATCATCCGGGAGAAATTTCCTACTGATCTGTGCTTTGAGGTATATACAGAGATACGCGGTATATATTTATATGGATGTGAAGAAGGAAATCCCCACGTCATTATATTTCTTCAATCGCAAAGGAAATATATTTTATGATGGCAACAGAGATAAATGTTTTCTGTGCAAGGCGGACGGACACCGGAAGCTTTTCTGCCCCAAGTGGAAGGCTCGGAAGGAACCGGAGAAGCAACTATAGAAAAAAGGAAAGCGATGTGAAAGAAAACAAAACAGCAGCAGTACGTATGCTGGTGTAGTGGTGGAAGGTGCGTCGTTTGTCATTAGCGCCCAGGAAACGGACACGGGGTTGGAGATGTTGAATGAAAATAACGAAATGGACGTGACGACCCCGACGACCGACGAGAGTAGCGGAGAGCATGCAACGGGAAACGACGTTCAGAAGCAGCAGCAGCGATCACGATTCGGGTTCAATGAAAATGAGGAACAAATTCGGGAAAGAAAGAAGTTGCGTGCACGGGAGAAGATCGCTTTGTCGCCGCTTCGATCGCCACCAAGGAAAATCCTATAATGCATTTTATATCTTTTGTTTGTATTTTGAGTACCAAAATTGGTATTCCATGTTACTCGGCTCGGCTAAGTTATTTTTTTTAACATTTGAGCCTGCCAAATAAACGAAATGAAAAAAAAAATCACGAAGAGCGTCCAGAAGAGAGTAGTAGAACTGGCCACATTGCCCCCGAGTGGCACGATATACAACAAAATAAGAATAGCAAGGCTTAACTACTACGGGCATATCCTCAGGAGCGATCCAGGCTGAATTTTGAAAACGGCACTTAAGTACAGAATACCAGAACCCAAGAAAATTGGAAGACCGGCATGTACCTGGAAAACCTGTATTCGTCAGGACGTGGAGATTGAAATATGGCAGGATATCGCACAAGAAAGGAGCTAGTTCAAACAAACCACTAGAAACCTGTATAGTAGCATGGTGCAGTCGGAATTTGAGACAAGCAGCGACTCGGACTGGGAAAGTGATTCAGAAGACTTAGTTCCATCAGACTTCCTCGGATTTAGTGATGAGGACCCCATCATGAGAGGAACCGATTCTGATGACGAGGTCGGTCCGAGGCAACGCCAATGACAACCCACAAAGCATCCCCAGCCAACCGATGATGATTCAGCAACACAAGTAAGCCCAGAATTCATAGGTAAGTTCATACAATCGTTATATTAACATGCTTTCCCAATAGGTTCCTACTCAAATGTGTTAGCAGTGCCTATTCGACCACCATTGCTTATCTCTTCTGGCGTTCGAGTAGTGGATTTATTGGATAGAGCAGGCCTTGACAAATGAGCCCCAGAAGGGCTGCAACCTGTAGTCTTCAAAAAAATATTTAATCAAACTTTCAAATCCTTGAACTCACAAAAGTTCATTTTATAGCTTCATTTGTAGGACACACAACCCGAAGGAACTGCTCATATTTAAAGGAAGGCAAAATCTCCTAAAATTATTAGTTTCGGGCTAATGATATTCGGGCTAGTGTTTTAAGACACTAAACATCATCAATCCAGCCTGTTGGTGTAAAACAAAGGCCTACCAAGTCAACTCCAGCGATCCTACAGTGGAGGTCAGGAATCCTTATGGGTCAACTCTAACAGGCCCAAGAAGTCTTACGAATCAACACTTGAATCGAAAACTGACAGTGAGAAAATACGGCCGGTACTCACCGATATACAGCGCCATCGTCACGAACACAATGAACCCGAACCACCAGTTGAACGCCATCACGAAGAACACGACCGCCACCAGAATATCCACGATGGTTGGCGCAATCGAAAACAGAATGTAATTCAGCAAATTGTTTATGCTATCCGTTCCGCGGTCCATCACCCGAAGCACCTCGCCGGTTTTCCTATTCAGATGCCACCTCAGCGAAAGGCTGTGCAGATGCCGGAACAGTTCCACCTCGATTTCCCGGGTCGTGTACTGCTGGATCCGGATCCAGAGGAAACTTCGCAGATTGTTCAGCACGCCCATCGATCCGGTTCCGCCTCCCTGGAGGAACTTGAACGCCACATAGATCAGGACCCAATCCCATCTGAATACCAGCGGTCGCTCGGAAAGACTATCGACAATCTTCTTATTGTAGATCGGTACGTACAGGTTGATGACACGGCCGGCGATAAGGAGCGCAAAGCACATGATTACCCGGAACTTCAGAATGGCGTCCTTTTTGGGCCAAAGGAATGGCATCAGGGTTCGCAACTTTTGCCAGCCATTTCGGAAGGTGGATTGATTTTCCTGTTCCTCCCCCAAGTTTCGGTACTCCTCGCCGAGCTGGGTAGACGTGATGGCCGGGGCTTTCAGACCGATAACAAACACGAAAAGGGTGGCCGTGTAGCGCAGAACGAACAGAGCGAATTCCGCTTTATCCTTGCCGGTGTTCAGATGGAACCATGCTTTATCGTAGTTGAGGTTGACGAAGGGCACGTTCTGGGCGATGAAGAGAAGCGTCCAGAAAAGCAAAAGGACTAATCCGTGTCCTCGTGTTGGAACCGATGGTAACAGGAAATAGCGCTCCTTGACGAGTAGCAAAATTGAGTACGGATACATGAAGAGCGTAACGCAAATGGACACGATCATAAACCCGTAGACTTGAGCTCCTTCGAAGACGAATCCTTCCAGCACGAAACGAACCACTGCCAGTAGAGGGAGCAGCACTAGCAGAAACAACTGAAAGTTGTACATTTTTGAGCGCCCAATTTGCGACGGATTGATTTCCGTTCCGTACCGGCGATACATGATCAACTGGATGGTTCCGAAGAGCAGCAGGAAGCCACCGATGGTGGCGACGGAAACCGTATCCAGAAAGCACTGCGAAATGCCATGGTTGAACCAGACTACCGCCATGGACACGTTGCTCGGACAGTACTGCAACGGCTGCATGGTGCCGAGCTGGATGTCACTGCAAGTGGAAAAGAATAAGGATTATTGTTAGGGATTGTTTCAAACACATTGATCGTCTTTCAAAAAGTAAATCTTGAAGTACCTCACTTAGTTGCGTTCAACGCGCTCAAATGGAATGTGATAGGGGATAAGGAATATAACGAGTGCCTGGAGATAGGTACCAGATCTTATCAGCGTTCTTCTGAGGTGAAAGTGTTTAGCAGAGCTCTGGAGCATACAAGCGGTTTGCATAAGGGTACGTTGCAACTGCAATAAGGTTAAATGCTTGCAACTTCCTGATCTGAAGCAACCATTTCGTAAGCCTCATCGCATTTAATCGTTACTGTAAATAGTTTAAGCCTTGACTGAGTTATTGCTAACTAAACGAAAACATGACAGTTATTGAACTGCAGTTGCGCATTAAGTGCGGCTAACAGACCTGAGTAGAACACTACGTCACCGACAAGCTTCTTACGAGTCTGTATGGAGAGCACTCCACGGAAACGCCGGAACGTACTAAGAATATTATAGACCTTTTTAGTAGCCTCGTTGATCCTATCAGTCTATTCCACGTTCGAGTCCATAATGAGCCCGAGGTTGGTTTGTCTGACAGAGCAATAGTCTCGCAATCGAAACGGATGTCATTCTGATAAGGAAAATATGAATATGAATCATCCGCTCTAAACCAACCGGCTATCTAATCCATTATTCTAGAACAGTACTTTCCTCAGCTTTTTTTTTCAAAATATTTGAAAGTCATCGTGGGCCTAATGGGAATAATTTGTGTTTGCGGCGTAAAATCCTTCCTCTATCCGCAAAGATACCGAAACCAATACCAATACCTACAAGCTGAACCCAATCGACAATCGAGACCGGGTTTTAAATTACGTTCTATCAACCTATCACTAATTACATCACAAGCTACAACACTTCTACGTGGAGGAAAGTAGTACCAACTAGCAACTCATTGGATTTTATCGAATTAACAACTTTTACTGCGGAAGCAGGAATTTCATAACAAAATACCACCCCCAATAGGTTATTATAAACACACAAGACTTGGTCTTACCTTTTTCCCCTTGGCTGAAAATCAACAATGTCTAAATTTCTTGATGAGAAAATCTTCCTCTAAATCCGCACCAGGCGGCTAACGTTTGAACGTTTGTGGCCAACAATTTTAAACACGGGTAATTACACGCACTTGAACATATTTTATGATGTCCACTCTTGAGTGGAAAACGTGAAAAGTAATGTTACCGAATCCAATCTATTCCGCGACGGACACACAGGACGGACTGCGAGTTTGTATTAAAAAAGCTGCGACGACGACGATCAACGCAAGACGGCCGACGAACGAATTGATCAGTTCACGAAGATTTACCGCACTCTTCTCTCACCCGTAAGTTTTGACAGTTTTGGGTGGTTTGTTTTGGCTCCCATTCGTTGCTATCTCTTTTACTCAGAAGCAAAATGATAGGGAGCAAAAAGTAAGGTTAGGGACCGTGCACTGATCTATAATGAAGTGCACTGTCGATGCATGTTTGAAGTGCAAGAGATGAACTAGCCCCAGGCTAAAAATCTCTATAATAAAGACTAAAAAAAAAAAAAAAAAAATGTTTGAAGTGCATCAGTGCGCTGTGCCCAGAGGAAAAGTTTTGACAGTGAGAGCTGTCAAACTTTGTGCCGGTTCGACCTGGGGGGGGACGTGCTGTCAAATCAGCCTACTGATCATTCTTGTATGAAACTGGCTCCAAACGTAAACAATCGCTGTAGGTTTCTTATGGCTTGTTTACCTTTGGAACCAGTTATGCGACGCATGCGAGGTAGGCGACGATTGTTCGTATTTGACAGCCACCTCCCCCCCTTGGGTTCGACTGGTTCGACTGACCAACAATTCAAAAAGGCCGATCAGCTTTTGTAAAGATAACTTGGTAAGCCCTCCCGCATAAACGCGAACCATCACATGACCTTACCGATAATGGTTATAAATTGTTTATAATCCCTGCTAAACTTCAACTGAAATGGTTATAGAACTTTACATGAACGTTTGTGTGATAAAGTTTTAACCTTATGTGTTATGGTTTTTTGGAAGCGGACCTTACAAATAATGGGTTGTTAAGAACCATTACCATTCCAAATTCTTGTTTTCTCCATACATTTTTGGAAAGAGAACTATATTAGAACGTTTTTTCTTATGGTTTGAGAACATTAATGGTTATGGTTATGGTAGTCAGTAAGGTCCATTAATGGTTTTGTACAAGAATTGTGAATGGTAATGGTAAGGTCCACTTCCAAAAAACTATAATACTTAACGTTAAAACTTTATCATTAAACGTTCATGTAAAGTTCCATAACCATTTCAGTTGAAGTTTAGCAGGGATTATAAACAATTTATAACCATTTTAGGTAAGGTCAATTTATGGTTCGCGCTTATGCGGGCTGGTAAGCCTATTCCTCGCAAACCGAAGGACACCCCTGGGCCACTCACGCAAATCAATGACATCACCGCGTAGGGAAAAGTTTACTCAACCCGATGATGCTGTTGGTTTGCGTGGGCGGCCTACTCTTTGCAAGAAAAAGGCTTACAAAGTTTTGTTTACAAAAGTAGATAGGCTTTTTTCAATTGTTGGTCGCCTTTGTCTGAGTGTTTTAAGCTGGGTTTGGTTCGTTACACCGTTGGTATCAATATATTTTATTATACTACACAGCAAAAAAAAAATGTAATATCGATCAACGTAATTCAAGCTGATGTATGAAATAATGATGTAATAGCAAAACGCAGATACAATATTACATCAATGGATGTAATTTTGTTCGCAAAATCGATGTACATTGTACAATGTGATATTACACAACCGATGGATTGACCTGGTTGCAGCAGTTTCGATGTAATATTCAACAACTTTTTTTGCTGTGTATAAAGAGCCTAAATTTATAAAGAGGCGAGATGTCAAAATTGGAACAATCGATTGTCTGTCAAAGTCATAGGAAAAGGAGGAAAAGTCATTCCAATCGAGCAGAAGAGCAGAATCGATAAGATGTCGTCTCTTTATAAATTCAGGCTCTTTATATTATACTATACTGTAACTGCAAGGTATCCATTAATGGGTACAATTGGGCTCTTTAATTTTGAAAAATGTATTGTTTTTTATACATCATCCGAAAGAGCTTCGTTTTCTGAGCACAGCGATAATTTTTTCGAACCCACATACTTTCATCTCGATTTTTAAATTAAGATTTAAAGCAAAATAACAACTTCACTGTTTGACACTAAACTAACAAACTGACAGCTCGCTCCCATACAAAGTGACACCGAGGGGCGCTAATAAGGTGATTTTTGCAAATGTAATCTTAGTTATTTAAAATAGTTCCAGTGTACCCAAATTGTTAAAATTTTGGGTTTGGGTTCCATTTTTAATGCAGATTACGAATGTGTATTTACCTCAATACCCCTAAAGAACCCAATTTCACCCATTTTGAAGTAAAGTACGTTATCCCATTTAAATGGTAAAGAAGTTACCCATTAATGGGTAACTTATACTCATAAATGAGTAATTGTTACCCATTAGTGGGTGAACGTTACTCATTAATGTGTTATTTGTTTAGGACAAGGTTGCAAAGACTCATTTCAGCTAAAACAATGTTTTTCTAAATTATGAAATAATTAGATGCCATGATCAAATTTTGAATTGGTAGGATACAAGAAGAGGTTGCAAAGAATGTGTTTGACATATTAAACCTGTTTATTTCACTTCATGAGAGTCACAATCAGTGATTTTTCACAAACTCACTCACTCACTCAGCGATCAGCAAATCGCTGATTGTGACTCATAGAAAGCAAAATTTACAGGTCTTATGTTTCCAACGCATACTTTGTAACCTCTTCTTGTAAGTTACAAGTAAAACATGCCATCATACCATTTTTTGGTTTTATTATTCCGAAAAACATTATTTTAGCTGAAATGAGTCTTTGCAACCTTGGTTTGGGACCGAAGAGAGTACCAGAGCTGAGCCAAAAAGTTGAGCACGTTGCTTTGGGACCTTCTGGTCTTAGAGTTACCTCTATGAAGAAACCGTTATGTGTTCAACCCTAATAAACAAATACCATAAACGAACTGTATCCCGGATGGGTAAACTATCCCACTAATGGTTTGGATGATACCCCGAACACGTCGTTAAGCTCTTTTTTATGGTTATTTTTATTAGGGAAGTTATTAACGAAAAAGAAAATCGACGAAGAGAATCCACCAATGTTACTTACAGGCTTGCAATTGCTCATTACAGCTAAAATGCTATTTTTCGTAATTATGAAACAATGAGATACTATAATGATATTTTTTATTTGTAAGATGGAAGAAGAGGTGGTAAAGTTTGTGTATGACATACAAAATTTGTCAATTTTGCTTTCAGATGGTCACAACTAGCGATTAGCTGTATCGATGAGTAACGCGATGGGCGAGCAATCAGTGATCATGGTAATTTTTATACGATAGATGGAGTAGATGAAAGTATAGAAATGATAGTTCCGTTAGAGTACGGCAGTGTTAAAATTGCATATAGATAGTAGAATAGCGAGCTAGGACAACTTTAAAGGAAGGTACAATCGGTTTTTTCATCTCTCTTTACCAAACTCCCCATTTGGAGAGGGATGGTGAGGGGTGTCCCCCCCCCCCACCACCACTGGCAAAAAGAGATGAAACCCGACCGCTCAAGTACACACAAAAAACAAAAATTGTTGCTATAAAAATAATGCAAATTCAAAATAAAAGTTTCCCAAATTTCGTAGTTTTAACAGTGAAAATTTTCAAAATGAATGCTATATCTTTGGGTTGAAAGTTTATCTTTCACTTCTGACTTGTAATTTTAAAAGTGCATTTTTTTAAATAAAAGTTGTTCAACTGTCAAAAATACTTCTTCATAGTAACGTTTTTGGCAGCACTGAACCCTACATTATTTGCCGCCAAAGTAGACTTGACGAGACGAGAAAAAAAATCGTTCCACGGAATTTCATTTTTTTTAATGAGTTAATTTGACGTTCGGAAGCTGCCTCCGGTGATCGATTGTGATTCAGCCACTGCAACAGGGCATGTAGGTGAGTTGGAAAATTCTTTTTCTTAGGATCGATTATATTTATGTTATCATTGTAGGTACGCTTATACTTGACAAACAAGCGCTTACATCGGATGGTTCCGGCCAACAAATCCCGTAACAGAGTGAAGCGTCTCGACCGAAAAAGACTATCCTTACAACAAACCCTGTTACATGGCACCTAACCCATCATTCCGGAAAGTGACCACCAAACGTACACACAAAAAATAATCGTTGATAAAATAAAAAAAAAACCATTAGTAAAATTAAAAGTTTGCGTTGGTTCTTTTTGGTAGAAAGCGGTTAGCTTTCAAACTAAAGTCAACCAATTGTCTAATTAAAAGTTTTCCGTTCACTACTTTTAAAAGCTAAAACTTTTAAGATGAATTGTACTACTGTCAAATGAAAAGCACGGCGTATTGAAATTAAAAGTGGGTTATTTTCAATTCAAAACAAGTTTTTGACATGAAAATGTGGTAAATTTAAAATAATATGTACTGTTTTGATTCACACAAAAAGCATTTTCAATTTAAATGTAAGTATTTTGAAGATTATAAAATCATTTTTAGTATTCAATTCTAATAAATATTAAATCCAAATATTTTCTTTATTTGATAAATAAAAATCTACAAATACAAAAATATATTTATTATGTCAGTCCGGTGCCGGCACGCGTATAAGCGTCTTACGTAGTCTCCACGCCACAGCTGATGAAGGCTGTATGTGTAGTCGAATAGGGTAGGATTCCAGGAAATAGTTACCACATTCAGCTAAGAGCAGCTGCCCCGCCAGCCAAGATGAGATCAGGGATTCTTCAGTTGAAGTTTGATTCCATCGATGTCCAGCACGGCATAAGTATGGGTTGATAAAAGTCTCCAACGTTGGGTTCTACTTCCGTTATCCATCAGCGACGTTACTAGCGCAGAAAGTGACCACACGCGAACAAACCCATGAAGACATGCCTAATAGTACGTTCAGACTACAGAGTTATAACAACAATCAATACGAAACTAACGATTTTAAATTGGCTCACCACTTTAGTAGCCTATTGGTCCCAAGCAAACGATTAACGTACCCTATTCTAGTTGAAATTCTATTACTACACTATGTTTGTTTTGATTCGCTATGAAAGTTTGACAGATAACATCAGGGGTGTGTGGATTCATGCAGAACATGCAGGGGTGAGTGAAATAGCTTGGGACTGCTTGGGACCGTTGTTCTGGTACTGAGTGAGCCAAAAATAATAATGATTTTCTTCGGGACCCAGTGGTCTTAGAGTTACCTCTATGGTTATAACATTTTATAGCGCTATCTTGATGGTGGTTTCTGTGTTGCAATTTTTTGACAAGCGTTATAACATGTTATAACTCTTCAGTCTGTACAGCGTTTAAAACGAAAAACACCAAGATCAATTTTCAGCATCTCAAATCAAGACAAAAAACCTCACTCACTCTTGCACGAGTTCAGGGCGGGCGCTAATGTTCTGAAACTTCCCAACAGAATACCTATCGCGATCGCTTGTTGAATACAATATTAAAGTATCCACACTACTCCCGGCTGATCTCCATCCGTTCTTGAGGCCAGGCAGGATGATGAATAAAATAAAATGTCTGTAGGCGGAAGCAAAACATCAGGTTCTCGATGTCAATGTCGGTGCTGTTTGTTTCAAAAATTGACTGCAGCATAGGCTGTGAAAAAAAGTAATTTTTTAATAAATGTGAACCTGTTGAAGAAGCGTTTTTCGACATTTCTAAAATTAATTACTAACTCAATATCCGAGACGGTTCTGCTGCTGCAAAAATGAACGCAATACAGTTTGGCGTGAAGTAAACGGCTAATGAAACTTCAGTGCTGCTAGTAAACAAATCGATGTGAAAAGGTATATTGACAGTTGAACAACTTTCCTTTTAAAAAATGCACTTTTAAAATTACAAGTCAAAAGTGAAAAAAACACTTACAAACAAAAAATTTAATTTTCATTTTGAATATTTTCGCAGTTAATACTACGAATTTTGGTAACCTTTCAATATGAAAATGCATTATTTTTATTGATACAATTTTTGTTGTTTGTGTGTACTCCATCTATCGTATAAAAATTACCACTACAGTCTGTTATTTGAAAGTTAGCATCTTCAACTATGTAAATCGTTGACTTCACGCAGAAGTAATACTAAAACATATAGTCAAAGTACAATTTATTATGTTTGAAAATCAGGATAATCATAAATTAATAAAACTATAATATAATTAAAAATTATACTTAAATCTTGCAATTATTTTACAAAAATAACGGACATTAGCACATCACCACATACTTTGCACCACTCTGAGTGTAGAACTCTTTTTTTTCAAATGTGGAAATCACATAAGGTTTTCGTGAAACGCACATAGAAACATTGTATGAGAAAATCACGTAAATTCCATTGATTAAGTATGTGTGCTTAATCGGGATTCCCTTTGATATTCAAGGGGTATCACATACATTCTACGTGAGTCATGTAAAACTGAGGGGAGTGGAAAAAGAGAGAGCTTACGGGATTTTTCGCGTAGTTTCAACGTGTCGATTATTTTGAGTGTAGCAATACGAATTGCTGGATCATGTCCAGCAAAATTAAATTTAGCTGGAAAATCAGTAATCTGAAATATTTTACATCCATTCCAGTAAATTGTATCAAATGCTAGATTAAATGTCAAATTCATCCGTGTCAGGCAGTTTTGGTTGGTAAATGACTGGTTCGCGGTTTGAGTACATATTTTGCAGTTCACGAAGCCGTTGTTCCCGGCCTATGTGTGTTGAATGGGTACGATATCCTACGCAGGTGTGGAAGCTGCCTTCCTACACATTCGATTGCCGTCAATGGATGGCAACCGATGGCACTAGATTGCGGAACAGAGACCGACGTTAAATAAAGTAAAGAAGAAGAAGAACACAGCCTTAATAAACTAAAATAAATAATGGTGTAATGTCCAATGCCACTGTACGTTTCTACAACCGGTTCAAACGGCTGACGTCATATATGACATTTATATTACATTATACCGTTTAGTATAAGCGATGGCGGTGGGTCTGAGATGCTTCTGATGTGATCTATTTGTTTTCGTTATTGCACAACAAAATCTGTTGTTTGTTTACCGTTTTTACGTTGTTACAAAAAAGTAATACTCCAGCCGTTGCCCAGTTTAAGTAGCAATGGACGAGGACGTAGAATTTCGGGACATGGTGCTGAAAAAGCTGGAGGAAAATGGATCTCTGCTGGAAATCAAAGTAAGTAAATTAGTAGCTAGATTTCCCAAAAGGTAAAACCATTAATAATTTGCATAATATTATTTGAATTTCGATCCTCATCCCGTTCTTAGGCCAAACTTCGCGCATACCTTTACGATGTGATCGAAAATGATGGTAAAATGACGGAAGCGGTAAACGATAATGATCTCACCTATAACAGTGGTGACAAATCGGACCTGGACGATGATGAACCGGAGGAGCAGGAGATGGACGGCCGAACGTTAGCGTTAGGGCTGGTTTTTGATTTGTTGGATTGCCTCAAACTTCCGTACACGAAGCAAGTGCTTTCAGCGGAGACGGGCGTCAAAAGGCCATGCCCCAGGGTGCGCTTAAAGAAGGAATTTTTGCGCCAAACCTCCACCGATGATGCTGACCTTGGGGGAGAAGCAATCTTGCTGCAGCTAATTGAACAAATTCGGACTGTTCAATCGTCTAGTGGCGGAACTAGTGAGGTATCACAAGTAAGTAGAGAAATTACTGAAAGCAAAACCGTAACGGAGGATGCGGTTGAAGGAGATTCTGCCATAACTACCTGATGGTTTTTGGTTCAGACGTAGAGATAGATCAACAAACATTCCCAGAAGTTTTTTTTTTATATCATTAGCCTAAGTGCCTTTACGTGTATTTTTAAATGTATTATTTTCATTTGCTTTACAAAATGTACGCCCTATTAGCCGGTAGCTTCGAAACTTCCTTATCCTTTGTTCTGTTCTTTCTGGATTCGTTGCGTGTAGGTTCGGGACACCAGATTCCACGAATCCATGAACCGATCCATACACATGGCGATGCATTTCTGGAATTGGAAGGGTGATGATGAAGGTTGATTACTTGGGTTCAAAACTAACGGCATTTACCTGTTCGGAACTGTCCAGCTCTTGTCCTGGCTTGCCGACGCACTTCTTGAAGCATTTTTCCGTCATTTTCTACAAAACAAACGGCATGGTTATTTACCCTACAGTCAAAAGAATTTCATCCCGCAAAGGGAGTCTTACCGTGAGCAGTTCCTGCGCATTGGCCAGAGCAATCTGCTGCTTGACGGAAACCATCAGCTCATCCTTCTGGGCCGATGATAGATTATCGAGCGACATTTCCATTTGGTGGATTGATTCTTTAGGGAATTTTATGAACACAAACACGGATCTACCGGGCTGCAGGTGAACACTATCTAGTGGTGGTTAGGTGACTCGGTTCGATTGGATCCTTTTCTAACAGGATTATATGGGAAAACACCGGAACAATATTCTCATGTAAATGCCTCCGGTAGATTGTGTAATCACGCACTCCGCGGGTCGACCATGCGAGAAGAGCGAACGAGAACAATCCGTGCGCTGGTTGCACACACAAACGATACACGCGATACACCGATAGGGAACAAAATGTCAAACTCATTGCGTCAAATGACATCTAGTGTTGCTTCTGTGTGAGTGCAATGTGTTCTGTGCGCTTCTTTCAAAAGGGCGTAATGGATCAATCAGTTTATCCAACATCAGAGCTCACGGTAAACGCAAAATACTAAATAACGACTTTAGTCCATCCCTAATAAAAATTGTATGGTTAATTTGCTTAACGACGTGTTCTGGGTATCATCCAAACCATTTGTGGAATAGTTCAATGATTTGGGTTATCGTTCGTTTATGGTTATTTTTTATTAGGGATTCTATGCGCACGAGTATTGATGGTCCGAAAGTGAGGATAACTAATAACAAACAAACATTTATGGCTGAAGCGAAAGTGGGGATAACAAACCTCGCACTTGAAAATTATTGTTTATTGTTTATTGAAAAATTCAACTGACCAAGTAGCCGGTAGCCGATGACGAAACACGTCAGCTGATACATTGAAATCGAACATATAAAAAAAAAGTTGTTGAATTGCCGGCTGATGGCTCGAATTGGCTCGTGTTGTGATTAAGTCCGGCTCCGTGGTTCCAAAAACAGAAAGTCGCGTTGAAGAAGAGACCTCTCAGGGGCATACATATTTAGCTGTGACAGCAGTGTTGGACAGTCAATGTCACCCGTAAGCAGCTTTTCAGCGAACATAGCTTGAGCGACCGTCCGTCTCACCTCTAATGGCTCGATTCCCAGGAGACGGCAACGCTCCTCGTACGGTGGCAAGTTCGTTGGGTCACGCCAGTTGAGGACACGAAGAGCATATCTCACAAACTTGCGTTGAACGGATTCAATTCTAGTGATCCAGCTAGCATGGAAAGGGCACCCAACAACTGAACTTGACTCCAATAAGGATCGCACAAGCGAGCAGTAAAGTAACCTGAGGCATAGCGGGTCACGAAACTCGTCGGCAATTTTGAAAATAAAGCCCAATTGTCGATTAGCTCTGGAGATGATGTCATTGTAGTGGATTCTGAAAGTGAGTCTGCAGTCCAAGGTAACGCCGAGATCCTTTATGTGCTCTGCACGAGCAAGACAGCGTCCGTAGAGAACATAGTCAAACATGATTGGTTCGATTTTTCGGTGATAGGAAATAATGTTACATTTTTATATGCTTAGACTCATCAAATTTCTTGAGCACCAGTCAGCAAAAATACTTAACATATTCTGGAGATCCCAGCAGTCCTAGAGGCTTTTAATAATTTTGTAGATTTTCGTATTGTCTGCATAGAAAACGCGGCATCCTGATGGTATCAGCAAGGCGACGTCGTTTAAAAAGATCGAAAATAGTAGCGGTCCTAGGTTACTGCCTTGCGGGACTCCCGAGTTGTTTGAGAAAACATCCGATTCCGACGCGCCAATCTTGACATTTTTTTTTCCTTTGGTTTGTTTTTTCCGTCGATCTTGTTTTCCCTGGGGGGACGTGCTGTCAAATCAGCCTACTGATCATCTTGTATGAAACTGGTTCCAAACGTAAACAAACGCTGTAGGTTTCTTATGGCTTGTTTACGTTTGGAACCAGTTATGCGAGGTAGGCGACGATTGTTCGTATTTGACAGCCACCTCCCCCCCTTGTGTTTTCCGTGCTGAGCACCAATGCTACCGACGTGCAAGGAAGGCAGCTCCCACACCTGGACCCTACCTATCGACCCATCAACTCATGAACCGGGGACCAACGGCTTTACTTCCCATCCGAAGGAAGGCGTGACCAGAGATGTTATGCCTCAGAACATCCCGGCGGCGCCGACTGGGATTGAACCCAGGCCTGCTGGGGTGAAAGGTAATCACGCTTACCACTACACCACCGGCACCGTTTAATCTTGACATGTACATAGCGATTCACCAAGTAAGATCTGAACCAATCCACAGCAGTTGACGAGATGTCAAGTATCTCCAGCTTGGCCAGCAAGATATTATGGTCCACCGTGTCAAATGCAGCTTTTAGATCCATATACGCAGCATCGACTTGCCATCCTGAATCCATGCATCGCAGACAGTTAGAAGTGAACTGCACCAGGTTCGTGGACACGGAGCGCTTCGGGTAGAAACCGTGTTGTTCTGTACCGCTATAATTTTTGCAGCGTGCGAACAGAGCACCATTTATGATAATCTCGAACAGTTTTGAGTAGGCACACAGGGAGGTGATTCCACGATAATTTATGACATTCCGTTTATCTCCTTTTTTGTACACTGGGAACAGATAAGAAAGTTTCCAGCGGCAATGGAACTCACATTGCTGTGCCGAGAGATTGAATAGCCTCGCAAGTAGAAGGCAGAGATTGGCTACACAACGTTTTAGAACTGATGACGGAATGCCGTCAGGTCCGGCGGCGAACGAGAGCTTCAGTTTGCATGTTGCGGCTATCACCAAGTCTTCTGAAATGCGCGGAATAACGAAACTAAACACATCACGTGGCATCCCAGCAGTAGCGTCCATCACTTGTGTTGGCGAAGCGGAGAAATCGTGGAACACTTGCTTGAAATGACGAGCAAACAATCCATGGCCCATACAAATAAAAAAAAATTGAATGGGTAATTGTCTACGCAGGGTGAGGGGGGGGGGGGGTGTGGGGGAGGTCAATAATCCCAAAAAACTGTCTACCTAGTTAATGATCAGCCCCTTAAATGAGTAAAATTTTACCCATTAATGAGTAATTGTTACTCAAGGGGTGGTAACTCTACACACTTATTTTGCGCCAACTTTTTTCTCAGTGTACCTCAGTGTGCCGCAGCTGTACCGGCAGTGCCAAGAATTCATTGAACTGACTTTTGATTGCTTGTGAATAATGTCTTGTTTGGCAACCCGGTATTTTAACAGCTCTTGTTTTTGTTTCGTTTTTCAATGTTTTCAAAAACGGCACGGACTCCAGTTGGGACTACACACTGTATGCATCCGTCTCCAAGGATGCCTGCAACGGACGAGCTCCGTTGCTACACGATCCTTCCATCTTTGGCGGAAGGCCGACCCCGCACAACGAACTTCAATCATTAGTCAACCAACCCTTTTGGAAGCCGGGGGAGAAAACGGGGATTTGCACCGAATTTTTCACCGCCCGAGTATCATCTGGCGGAAAACTGGAAACCAACACCGACCGGAACACACGTCGGACTGATGAAGGACGCACCGCTGACCCGAAGCGGACCAGCCAATTTTCCAAGCAGAACTACTTGTCAGAGTCCACCAACCCGTACACCCTGCCGGACAATTCGATCAGCTTCAAGGTCTACAGCGCCTCCAAGAACAATCGCTTCCCAGACCAGCAAAAATCGCATTCTCCACTTCTTCAATACCCCACCCGTATGCCGTCCGAGGATCTGCTGCTGACTGCATTCATCACCAAGGACTGCCACCCGTCACAAGTGCGAATGTTCCCGCTGAAATCGGAAAGTTCCTCCTCCGGTTTGGTCGAATTCCCGAGCGTAACCCAGGCGGTGAACGCCATCATGAAGTGCAACCACAGCGCGATCGATCACAAATGCACAAATTTCCCGTTCATTATGAAGCTGTGCTTTTCCTCCTCAAAGTCGATGAACGGTGCGTGGAGCAACGAGAACATCAAAAACATGTAAGATTGGAAAGAGCGGAAGGTTCTTTTTCTGAGGAAAGAAAGGATTTTCCTTTTTCTGTGTAGTTAATGTGATTCGTAATTACAATTTCTTATTTTGTTAGTTGGAAGTTCAAAAAGGCAGGAGAGTAAAAATAATTTGTTGAACTATTTGAGATTTTGTCAAAACGGTCATTATACGTTGGACAAGCCAGTGACAAGGCCTATACCAACAGCAGCGTTTGACAGTAGGCAGCATGTCCCGGGCTCAAATCGTTTATTTTGCTGTGCTGGGCCCGCTGTCACGGTATAACCAAGGGGGGAGGTGGCTGTCAAATACGAACAATCGTCGCCTACCTCGCATGCCTCGCATAACTGGTTCCAAACGTAAACAAGCCATAAGAAACTTACAGCGTTTGTTTACGTTTGGAACCAGTTTCATACAAGAATGATCAGTAGGCTGATTTGACAGCACGTCCCCCCCCCCCCCAGGGTATAACATGTTGCCTACGCGCCTGCCACTGGGCTGACGTTGGACGATGAAATGGTTGGTGTAACAGCCACCGCCATGGATGTATACACACAAAAAACCAAAACTGTATCAATGAAAATAAAGCATTTTCAAATTGAAAATTTCTCATAATACGTAGTTTTAACTATGAATATATTCAAACTGAAAGTATTGCTATGAGTTTGAAAGTACTTCTTTCAATTTTGGCTTGTAATTTTAAAAGTTCATTTATTTGAAAGAAAAATTGTTCAACTGTCAAAAATCCGTGTTCATATCAACTTTTACTGCCAGCCGGGAAACGTCATTTGCATTTCCCACCTTTGTCACTCTCGCCGCTAGTGTAAATTTAAAGTGGCAAAATTTAGCAAAATATAACCTATTTTATCTAAAATCTAGCATTGTTGTTGCAATTTCCAAGGTTTACATGCACAATTAGCAAGAATGTTAATGTTACTTCTACCGACCGAGCTGGTCGTCAAGTCACAGCGAGGAGCTCTCCGTGCGAAGGATGGTGATCTACGTAGTCCGCACCAGTTGCTGTTGGGGGATGTATTGGATGAATTCACCGCCATGGATATTGATTTGTCCCTAACGGTGGGACTCTAACGGTCCCTAACTGATGGGTTCGATTACCAGTCCGGTCGAGGGAATCTTTCGGGTCGGAAATTTTCTCGACTTCCCTGGGCTTGCCACACAATATACAAATTCATGCATTGGTATTGGCATCGAAAGCTCTCAATTAATAACTGTGGAAGTGCATTTAGAACACTAATACCAACCGGTAGCAACTAAAGATTTTAAATTGGCTCACTACTTGACTAGCCTATTGGTCCAAAGCAAACGATTAACGTACCCCATTCTAGTCGAAATTCTAGTACTACACTAT